TTTATATATATATATACATGCATATTTTTCCATAGCATGTGTAGGTCGTATAAATGTCGCGCATACATGCATTCGTATATTTTTCCGAGAAGATGAGTTTTGATGAGATGTAGATAGATATTCAAATAGATTATCGTTGATGTCATACACAAAGGCGGTTATCGCGACAAGATATCGTTTATTCGAGAAAAAAACAACGTTATACTTTTATATGCTTTTATATGCTTTTATATACTTTTATATACTTTTAATTATATTGACAAAGAAAGAGGAGAACGATACACATGCGCGTTACGAGCACGCATCGAATGCGTTGTAATAATTATAAAGTATTCGATAATTACACATTCATCTGTTCTTGCTCTACGACTAATATTAACGTAATTAATATTTTCGCGGAAAAAACTAATCGTCCTTACCATCGTTCACAAACGTTAAACTACAGTTTCTTACAAAATGTAATACTCATCGTATATGTATTAGATGCATTTTTTTCTTATTATTCTTACAAGATAACGTGAATGTAAATTAACGTATTGTTTTATTCAATTAGAAATTATTATGTATTAATTTTTTGCGAATTTTTCAATTATTAATAATTGGGTCAAATTGAGTTATTTATATTATTTCTTTGGAAGATTATTTAATGCTACGAGATAAGATTGCGAGATAGGGCTGCTAGATTTTTTGTAGCCAGTTATACATGAGCCAAAATAGTTCTCCATCTTTTAAGGCAAGTATATGGGTATTTTTCAGCACATTATACAGATGACACACCATATAATTGGCTATCAAACTACTTGGCGTCGCGACACTCCGCTTAAAAAAATTCTTTATTTGGATAGCTAATCGTATGATACTGTGTTACATTGTGTTATCTGTGTAACTTGCTGGAAAACATATATCTTTTCAAATGTTGACCCATGAGTCAGTTGGCTCATTGAGTCGAAAAAAGTGGGATATTAATCTTCTTTAATTTTATAATGTATCTAACATTGTATCTGTATTTTGTTGTCGTTTAAGAACTCTTTTTTTTTATGTAGGAAAAAAATATTAAAAAATAATAATGATATTGATAAGTTAGCAAGCTTAGAATTGCAAGTATGTATATAAAAATTGTGACAAATAATATTCTTACAAGAATGAATAAGAGACACATATTTTAATATAATTAATATATTTATATCTAAATGATTGTTGATATTAATATTATGTTTATAATTTTTTATAATATATAATATATAATGTTAATTTAAGAGAGGGAA